CAGCAAGAGAACGAGAGGTAACCGACTTAAGTTGCGCAAACCGCAGGTGCGGCTCAGGTCGAGACAGGAATTCTTTACTTGCAGAGTGGTGAACGCGTGGAATGCGTTAGATGACGAAGTAGTGGCTGCCCCTTCTGTGACTATCTTTAAGAAGAAACTAGATGCTTTCATGGACAGGCAAAAAGGTGGGGGGCAATTTTGACGTAGGTACTAGACAGTAAGCAACTAGGATAGTAACAAAAAAAAATACAAAAATACAAAAATATTTAGCTTTAAGAGGGTTAGGCCTACCCTAAATTAAGGAACGCTCGACCTCGACACGTGATATCGAAATGGGCGAAATCGCCTCTTGATATCACTAACTCTCCTGACTCCTGACTCCTGAACATGACAGCTCACTCGCGACATGAACATTAATTTATTCCCCAAACATATCATAGTCATTGACGAGCGCCTGTTCCAATTTTCAGGTTCCCGACACACAGAAGGAGATAGGCAACGTCGGACCTCATGATCTTTGCACTCCAGTGGTGTCGCGAGAAGAGCATGCAGCCTTAAGAGCATTCGTAAGACTTATTTCGGCTTAGTTCTCGGCGTTGGAACCGGCGGAGAGGCGAAAACGGTCGTCCTTGGAGAGATCCGCACCGGATGTCAATAATTGCCCAGAGTAAATGACGATCGAGCGAAGTTTATCCATCATCGAGGCAGAGTTGTTACTTTTGTCGTTTATGTCATTGCGTGCTTGGAGACGCAAGCTCTCCACTATGGTGGAAGATCGAGCCTGGAGCACTTAGAGGTTGCACCCCTGACACATACCCAATGTAATGGTCGGACCATTTCCGACGACTTCAAGGAGTATCTGCTTTTCCTCAGAAACCATGCGGTTCGCTATTGCCCATGCATATCCTGGCTCCATTCACGGAAAGTAGAGTAGGGTCGATTTAGAATCGTAATGCATTCTTTTTACTATCGGAAATGAATGCTGATTTTTCCATTCCAACCTCTCATGTCTCTTTCTTTTGGCTCAGAGAGGAAAAAGTGACTCACCCTGTTCTTGAAGGCCATCGATGAACATGGCGCATTCGAGTCCATGATGCGACAAAACCGCCGAGACGAACCCTTCCAACCGCTCCGTCGCGTCCCCCCCCCCCCGGACCAAAAGAGGAAGTCCAAGCAGGCCGAACAGCGCTGCCCATCCCCACCGTGCCATCTCCACGGGTCTCGAGGCAGGGACTGCATCGACTCGTTCGCCTTCAGTTCGATTCCGACTTCCGATGAGTGCGATTGGGACTCGTGCGTTTGGGACTTAAGGCTAATGACTGGAGATGTTTTCCGCTGCTCCACTACGTCGCACTTGTTATAGAAAATCCATCGTCCGCTCATTTGTTGTAATGAGGGCGATTTGGTGGCACACTTGGAGTCACGATGTCTTGGTTTGATAAAACATAACGACGGTCGTTGGGCATATCCTTAATTACAGGATGCACGCGAGCACAAATGCCACTCGGGACCCATCCATCTGTTCCTTCCCTTCCGCTTCCATTGGATCCCGTCTGGTGAAGATTCCATACTCCAGCGGCAGGGAGGAGGGGAGGGGGGAGGGGTGGAGGGGAGGGGGGGGGGGGGGGGGCAGAACGTCTCAGACAAGGAAGGAATCTCGTAATTCTCATTGTTTCGTCACTCTCTCCCTTCTCAAATGGAATTGACTCATTAATCCCGTCGATAAGAAGATTTTTCATTCCATTTTCCTGATATGGAAAATGTTACCAAAAATTTCCCAGGAGTCCCCATGTTTTGAGGTCAAATGGCTTATGGGTTCCATGTGGGACATCATATAGGCCGTGCAATAACCTCTAGATTCCCTCTAGGTGTCGTGGAGCAACAAAAGAAATACCCTACAGGGAATCCAAATCCTCTATTAATGTTCCCACCTTGTCCTATAACGTGCAGATAAAACTCTACGAAGACATTCCAGCTCAAGTGGTCGAATTTGGGGTTTTTGGTTGCGAGTACGGCAGGGATTCAGAATATCCAGGCACCATCCGACTCAGTGGAAGACTTCTACGAACTCTTGGGCAAGAACTCTCTGGTTCGTTCGCGGCCTTGAAACGCAGTGACCCTTTCATCGCTATAGGCAGCAGACCCTTATTCCCAATATTTACACGTCCCCACGCTTAACCCTTGGAGTCGCCTTTCATCCTGCTGAAGGAAGGATGATTTCCTTTCCGGGGTGAGATCTTCGTCCTTACATTTCTCGGAATCCCAACCCCTTTTATTCATCGGCATTTTTTCCTATCGGTCACAACCCTGTCCGCTTCGTCCGTAAAGTCCATCTCCATCCCTTTTCATACAAGCCTATGAGCGAAACATACGGATATGGAAACGGGATGGTAACGACACGACCGGCGGTGTCTTTTCGATCCAGGAGTAAACGCTCCTGTTCCATACAGGTGGGATCTCGTCATTTTCTCCCTCGGGGGTCACTCTCCCTGTGAGAGTGTCGATCTAATATGTGGAAGGTTTCCGATTGATATAGGGGTCGGGATCCCGATATATGTATGGAATTAGATCTTATCCTGGCGAGGAAGTCATCCTGCCTCCAAGGATGAAAGAGAACTCGGGGGTGTGCGTAGAATGCCTCTCTCTCGTGTTATAGTGTTAGGAATGGCATAGAGAGAGCCAACTGAACGGATTTGATACGGTGGTGTAGTGGTAGCACCTATAAAGAGTATATAAATGGGTATGGCGCGAGGCGAGGCACCCTTCCAGGCTCGGCCGCCATCTTACTGAAGTCGCACGAGCAAGGAATTCATGGCAGACACATGGGAAGGGGGAGGGCAAATGAGGTAACTTGCCCCGGGCTATATGCCTGGGGACCTCCACGCCGGGACTCAACCAATCACGTTGTTCATTTCCACGTGCGAGACTTCACCAAGACGACGGAAGCACTTGTAAGTTTCGAGGCAGAGGCAAACTCACTTTTCTTAGTTTCGGCATTTATTTTTGGAGCGCTCAGTGGTAACGATTACGGGCGAAACAATTTGTGGAATTGACTTGCATATTTTCTTGCAATATCTCCCTCGACATCCTGAAGAAGCGACCAGACTCGCCCTCGAAAAAATCCATCGAAGAATCTACTTACGAAAATGAAGAAGGAATGGGTGAAAATATATCGTTAATTGATATCATCCGTCGGATACGAGTAAAAATATTTCTCCAAGAGCAACTACAATTCTCACGATCACACGCCATTCAACGGTTTCCCATTGACTGTCACGCACATGTGATTCCCCGGTCTTTCACGCACATTGCCCACTCGTCTCCGAATCCTGGCAATTTCCAGTTCCGATTCCGAGTGGAACCAAAAAAATTTTCCCCAGGAAGCGATTTGGGTTTCTTGCTTTCTGTTTTCGCTAGATGTTTTTCATTTGCGTTGAGAATTTTCAGAGCAACGAAATCGTCCTGGATGCTTATCATTTCAGAAACATCAAACCTGCAAAGGGAAACGTCCCAAATAATTTAGACAGCCCACTCCTGGACTATCCTATACAAGTCTTAAAGATGAGAGTCTTACAAAGAACAACTACTGACACTTTCCGGTTTCTTTTCCGACTAGAAACATTTCTGGCTAGAATCTCTGCCTACTGGATCTACTTCTGCAGAATAACCGCTGCATTCGGAATCTCCTCTCCCCCTTTGCCCCTCCCCCCTCCCCCCCCCCCCCCTTCCACCCACCGTTGAGATTTATATGTGACTGATATGTGCCACGTGCAGGACATTTCGATACCTTTGGAAATTCTCAGGGCGTATCTCGACTTCAGGTTTCTCATTTAGACCTTGGCACATGCGAGTTGATCGTTCATCTGCAGCCGGACGATGGTGAAAGTGCAAACGACTTCGAATACCTGCGCCAAAAAATCACCCATCAATACATTAACAGCTCGGGCGCCGTAAACCGCGGCGGACCCCATCTCACCGATAAGAGGAACGGCCGAGTGACGTAGAAGAGGCCGGCCCCGGTCAAGGCGACATCCCGACCTCCGCATCGCTCCGCGAGCTGCCGCAGGTGCTGAAAGGGGAAAAACTGATTTCGTGATTTTAAAAATCACATGGCTTGCCACTGGCGACTACGAAGACGAAGTGCTTTCGTTTCGTCTTTGAATGCGTGGACGGCACAAGCTGAGGCGGAGATTTTCTCCATGAAAGCATTATTGGTGCTGTTTTGACAAGACCTTAAATAATATTCTGGAGAATTACTTTCTTTACTCCGAAGAATTTTTATTTATTAATAGCATTCTAAGACAGCATCCTACGATAACATTCTACGATAGCAATTTACGATAGCATTCCACGATCGCATTCTATCATTATCTTCGAAAATTTTCCTGATTTCCTTCTGGAGTTTTTAACTACGGCCGCGTCACTTCTGAAAGTTAAATAGCATTGGTAACCACAAAAATTTGTTCAGAAAGAAATGACCAAACATTGTACTTCATTCTTGAAGATTGCGAATAAATATAATTTGCACAATGAATATAATTGGGAAGGCAAGACATGTTCCTCAAAGTTCCTGTTGTCCTTCATTCTATGGCGAAAAAATACTCCCATTGGATTTGGTGAAGTGCTGTTTCTTCTGCGCAAGAATTCCCTCAGTGCTTTCCTTGTGAATTTTTGGAAGCGTCAAAATTAATTTAACTGGACATTTCCAGGTTATTTGAGTCACAGGATATTTAGATGGACAGGTTTGAGTTGTGGTGCGTCAGTCGCAGGGATTTTAAATCTCGATAGTGGAAAGAAGATATGACGGTGAAGGATTTCCCTTTCGTGAGAGAAAAAGGCGGGACCCGACGCGACTCACCAGAGACTTCGGCTCCACGGTCAACCGCCGGAATGCCCAATGAAGCGGACGGTGAGCCTGCAATCAGAGCGAAACCCCGTTTCCACCAGATTCTCCCCAGACAAAAAAAAAAAAACTGGTATACTCGCCTCGTCGTGGACTCGGACGAGGACCCAACTGACGAGGGCGGACTTGGCCGTCTGAACGATCAAAGTGAATATATTCCACGGGGAATGGTGGAGACGAGTCACGAGTCCGATGATAAGGTAAATAGTGTAAGTGACCATCTCGGCATAAACGAAGAAGACGATCGGTGACGTGAGTGAGTTCGTCACTTTCGTCAATTCCACGATCTTCTCGTGAAGAACGCACGCCTACGCGAAAACAGAAAGGGAGAACCGCAGGACCGTAAAATTGAGAGAAGCAACTTTTCGAAGACTCTTCGCATTTTACCTTTCGACCGTCGAGTCTTCCCCGATCCAAGAGATCGTTGAAGGCCTTCATCTTGGCTGTGAGGGGAAAGGTGATGGCCACCAGGAACGCGAAGGACAGTGGATAATAAAAGTTCAAGAAGTAATGGTCTAGCCCATTTTGGACGGAAGCAAGGATATGATTTCTTCGCCCTGAAAAAAAGGTTCGTATCACGAGATCCGTTCGTGTATTTGTCTTTCGCTCTCCTGCGAATATGCTCACCGTCTGAAGACGTGTCATTGTTGAATACAACGGGGCTCCATGATCCTGTCTGATGGAAATTCTCCAGAAGAAGCAAGGTTTCAAAAATGACATAATAAGCTACGCATATAGCAACGCCTATGATGCTCAGCAACTTGGCCTGTATTAAGGAGAGGGTACGCAATTCAAACAGCATTCGATGAAGCGTAACAACAGCATTTCACACCTTGAATGTCGAAATGGTGACTCCGCAGTCGAAGAGGGCCGAGGCGTAGTCATCGTGCAGTCGAATCAGGCGGATCAAATCACCGTTTTTGAAGCTGGAGACGAAGTAGAACGCAGAGGAGACGGCAACGTACGCGAGCCAGAGGAGCAAGTTGAAAAGATCTTGAAGGCGCTGTGCAGGATTCCTCAGGAAGAAGTTGACCAGCGCAAGACCAAGAATGAACGCCACAGCGGAGGCGAGCGCGAGGGAGGAGAGGCCCTGGAGGAGGCGGGGCACGAGGCCTGACCTGAAGCCCGACAGATCGGATCTCAGCCGGGGGAAGCAGAGGAGAAGTCGGCTCACGGCGATCACTGGTCTCAAGCTCTCCACCATATCGGACTTCAGCCTCTCAGCGTCCTTGGTTGGAAACTCGTTCTTTCCGTCCGCCATGCTGACGTACTGTACTGTGTACTCCAACTCTGCGAATGAAGGCGGTGACAGCCAGACGGTTTCTAATGGATGAAATGCAATTCACTAAAAGGGAAGTGATTAACTTCATTTCCCGCCTCCGATCGAAACACTTTGCAAATTCGTTCTCTTATCTTGATGCCAATCATATTTTCAATAAACGTACTGCATGATTGTTTTCTTTTCATCTTTCCCAATTTTGTTTGTCAGCGAACTTCCTTTTCTCTTAGGAATATGTACCTGTTTTTATTTTTTTGAGCGTGCAGATGAGATGCACGATGAAGCCATACCGGAATTTTTTGGCATGGAGATCCATTAGAGAAAACATTATGGTAGTGTAGACACGTTGAAAGGCATTCCCAATCTTTTCGCTTTAGCAGAAACCTCGTATGTAGCTTATCGTGGTCAAAGTGGAGCAATAATCCTTTTCTCGAAATTTAATATTTTCTGGATTATATCAGAATGGGACTGAAATATACGGAGCAGCAGATTCAGTTTACTTAATAATACCCAATTTTGTCCCTCGCCTTTCTTGTCACACATGTACTAATATCGCATTCAGTAGCTATACATTTTCCATATCGACGAATTCTTCAGAGAATCAACCAAAATCACTAAAATCTTTCTGTAGATGTGTTTATTTTGTCGCATTGATTTGTCGCTTTCGAAGTTGCTGGTTGGGCGACTTGGAATTTTGGACAGAGAGCTCTACGGTTGGAACAATCTCCGTTATTCTGCCCTTAGTAAAAAAAAAAATCGTTTCTTATTCTGTCTCTGCTAAACATCTGTCGTCTTGAATAACCAGTTGGGTCATTTTTTGCTTAGCAGGGGCGTACGAAGGCGCTGAGGACGGGGTCGCGGAGGGAGCCGGAGCACCTCCATTTCCTGGTATTAATATTTGCTCCAGGTTATTGGGCACCTTCCAGCATTGGGCACCTTCACCATCTTCTGTCAGTAGATGATGTGTCAGATGTCTTAACTGTCTTAGAAAATTCATGTAGATAGCAGAGGTTACTGTCATAAAGGTTAGAACATTCACCTTGTTGATCGATTTCGTTTTTCGAATGAAACCATGTCCATTATATTACTGTTTTCAACATGGTTTGAGCATTATTCATGGACAGGAATCCAAGTGGTGCCATGTTAAGCGGGCAGGGCGTAGTGCCATTGCAGATGAACTGTGACGTTGTCTAATCGGCTAAATGCTTTTTCGCACATGGAATGACCAATACAAATAAAATATTCAATACCATTATGCAAATCGCCCTTCCAAATCTATTTTTGCAAATGATTGACTTGCTAGAAATAAAAAAAGACACCTCTTGTCACCTTGGCACGTCTCTGGAGTAAGTCTTATGGCTGGGATCTTGTTTCATATTGTTTTTTTTTTTAAGACAGGACATGTTACGGACATACAGGACAACGGACGCAATTTTTACATGATACAGAGAGGAAGGGGGTACCCGCTTGGCACGAGCACCACATCCGCGTCACAGTCCCTTAGGCTGGGACACCCCTCTACGGTCCTGTAGGAGGCTTTAGGGGCAGCTCATGGGTTGCCTACGCCTATGACTGAGACGAGTGGTTTTTAAGATGTACTGCACACGCATCTCCTAGACGTGGCACACAGGGTGGCGTGTGTGTTATCCCACGCTAAGCAGATACTCCCCATGAAAGCAGGTGGGTCGCCTGTCAGCGGAGGAAGAGCCCTCCATCACACGGACGCGATCCCTTGCCTCCCGGGTTTCATTCGGAAGAACCACTCGGCCACCGAACCCCGGTATTGTTTCCTATTTTTTGTGGGCTTAACCTACCATGGTTACATCTCTGTTTCATAATTATGAAGGTTTTGGTCATGTCTTCTGAATTTTCAAAAGCCACATGACGGCACGAATATGATTTTCCCTTTTGGAAAAACTAATAAAATTCCAGGTATGAGCTAATTTAAGAAAACTGATAGTTTTCAAAGCCTGAAGATATCCTGTACATGTACTTACCTGTGGGACTGAGTAAAATAGTTTTTTTTTCAACTGGATCTGCTGCTCTCAGTACGAGAATATGCGTGCTACATTAGGACATATCTGACGAGAGAAATGAATCGATCAAAGGCGCGAGACGGAGAATACCTCTCCCCATTTTAGTGAATTGCAATGCATCCGTTCGAAGCCTTCTTGCTGCCACCGCATTTATAGCCGACAAGGACAGGGGACAGTTCATCACGTTAACATGTCGGGCAGAAACGACGAGTTTCTACCGAGGGAGTTGGGAGACCGAAGTCCGATATTGAAGAGAGTTTGAGGCCAGTGATTGCCGTCAGCCCACTTTCTTTTTCCCCCGGCTAAGATCCGATCTGTAGGGAAAGAAATCTGGCCTCGTGCCCCGACTCCTTCAGTCCTCTCCATCCTCGTACTCTCCTCCCACAGTGGTTTACATACTTGGCTTGAGGCTGGTCAACTTATGCAAAATCCTGCACAACGCCTTCTAGATCTTTCAACATACTCCTATGACTCTCATATGTTGCCCTCTCACCTGTATTTTACTTCGTCTTCAACGGTGTTTTCATCTACTACTCGTACTACTAAAACAATGTGTTTTGATCCGCCTGATTCGACTTCACGATGACTACGCCTCAATTCTCTACGACTGCAGAGTCTCCAAATCGGCGTTCAAGGTATAAAATGTTGCATCGAATCCAACAGTGATTCGTCCCTAGATGGGGAGCACATTTTCATATATTTTCAAAAGATTAAAATGAACATGTCTTGATGCCAAAATTGTTATTCGGGACAGCGAAAATTCATCCTCTCATTCATCCAACTTGAAACATTACTTAATGAACTTGCATTACTCGATCATCTTCAATTTTCTACTGACCATATCACGGCCAAGATGAAGATCTTAATACGTTCTTGGATCAGGGAAGAATCGACAATCGAAAGGTGTAGCCTGAAGAGTCCAGGAAAAGTTTTAGCTTTGAGTTTTACAGTGATTCTTTTTCTTTTTGTGATTCTTCTGTGGTTCTGTGGTTCATCCTGCGATTCTTTTTGTCTTCGTGTAAGTGTGCTTTCTTCATGTGTCCTTCTTCAATATGTGCAGCTGCACCAAGCCATCTCGTTTTGCTCCATCGTTGTTCCCCTAGAATACTTATTTCGGTAGTTGTAATCATGGAGTGACTGGGAAAATGTCATTCCCCAAGTAGGAAGTTTAACATTGCCAGAATTTTCGAATTTTTTTAATTACTTTTCAGGAGAACAAAACTTACCGATGGAAATGAACTGGAGCATGGCAATTGAGGAATTTCCCATTGACACTAGAACGAAGTGTGTGAAGATTTTTAGCTCACCAGTATAAAGGGGTTCTTCTTTCTTCATTCTTCAGTTATCATTATTCCGTTAAAAATTAACAAATCTTGTTATTTTACAAGTTCGTAATTTCTTCTGTTATTAGATTGTGGATGGTAAACGGAAAATGCATTTATTCTAAGTATTCCTAAACAATATTTCGAGAAAGTCAAAATCATAGCCAAATCTCACTGTGGGAAGGAGTTTGGCTTTTACAAAAGGACGTCGGAGAAAGTTTAGTGCTTTCAAGAACGAGAACTTCCAAGCAGAGTAAACGTGTAGTCGAGCCATCTCATGTCGGAGGTCGATCCTGCAGGACGACTTGGTACCACATATGCCTACTTCTCGTACTGTAGAATTCTTCTCAACATTTTTGACGGCCTCGGAGTCGTGTGGATGTATGGCTTTTCCTTAATCTCCAGTTCCCATCACAAAAGATGCCGGAGATCATGTTGGACCATGTTGGAGTTTGGTCCGATTTGGAGGGTGATCCGGCTTTAATATCGGTCCCTTGATTTTCTGCTAGCTATTAATGATCCATTTACGTACTGAATTTGCGGAATTATGTAAGACTGGAACATTGGTAGGTGTTGACCAATTGGTGTGGCCTATCCCGAGGCATATCGCCCATAGACATCCCTGATTGAAGTCGTCCAGCGTTGATTTGAAGTTTGGAGACAGCGACACAGTCTGCCAGCAGGCGCTTTCGGCGAGATAGTGCGTGAAACTGAAGATGGGCTCACCGTAGACCTCTAGGCCATCAATGTGATCATGACGCATAATGCTATATACAGATCGAAAATCTCGGAAAAGACAAACCATAGGTTATCGGCCAGTAACCAGAAGGTTGTAACTCATATGGTGGAAAAACGTTGACCTAGATCTCTCTTGAGGACAGTCCGTAGGCTGAGCCGAGCCCTTGTAAGCCCCAATACCTATTCTGATTCGTAATTAACTATTTGCTTTTATGACAGCATACTGTATTAAGACTATTTATCGCATTTTCCTAACAGAGGAGGAGATTAAGAAACATTTCAAAGGGAAGTTTTTTCATTGCTGCATGTCACATTGAAAGAAATCAATTTAGAGTTCCTCTGACTTATTCTGACTGTACAAGCGCATTACCATGCAATAATTTGCTCGTAAAATGGGGATTTAGCAAGACTTTATTAGACGTTTGTGACCATACTCATTCTCGAGATTTGCTGAAAGTGCTTCTCCAGAAGCACATGCGCAGAAACAGACTTCATCTCAATCCCTTCCTATCCATGAATAGTCAACTTGCTTATTGCATCTCTAAAGAATTTATTTAATTCTAAGGAACCCCTCCACCATTCAACTGATAGGTGCACGGTATATTTTCGAATCAGGTTGCAGAAATGGTATGCATGCCAGGGTATGCTGTTCCCCCGGCAACATTCAAGGCAAACCTCATCCGAAGCAATAGTTCCTTCCTCTTCTGATACGAGAACACGAGTTCCTCCAGAAGGAATGCAGCAGCCGCGAACACATATCCAATTAAGAGGATGTAGAAAGCACCTTGAAGGTCTTCGATCTTGATCGGCCGTTCGTCGGAATTGGAACGATCCAGGACTGTCAAGAGACTCACATCCGGAGGTAAAAGCTCCAATGCCCAATGATCAATCAGCCCTCCTGACTGAAGACGGATTAAACTACAAACAGGAATAATCAACTTCATTCATGCATTTTAAACCATTTCTTGGATGGAATGAAACTCCATTTCATGGAATGAAAAAAACTCACAATTCATCAATTTTGTCCCTGTAAGGCGATCCTTTTCTCAGGGCTATCCCTGAACCCTGAAAGTAAAACTGGTCGGAGGCCATGTAGAAATTTTTGTATCCAGAATTATTGATGTTGTACATGAGAGACATTTTCGGATGGATGAAGGCAAAGCCTCCTCCGAGTACTCTTTTGATCCCATCTTCAGTGTTGCTAAACAGATGTCCCAATTGGTCATCCTTTATGGCGTCCCATAGCTCTTTGTACAGTCCCTCCGTCGAGCTCTGGAAAGATGCGAAACATGAAGGAACCGCTTCCGCAGTCAGAAAACATACAGGTCAACTGACCTCGAAGAGGGTCATTTGCGAGGTTCCACGTCCTAGTAGACCCCAAGTCTCTTTAGAAGCTTGCACTGCATCCTTCAATTCTTTTAACGTCTCAATCGGCTTGTTTACCCCTGGAAAGCTCATGAATGCGGTAAGGAGACCGCCGTACACCCCTAAAAGGCAGAAATGTCATTGCAGTTCAATTTCAGATGCCGATGTAGTGCAGTAGGTTATGAAGCGACACATTTACCTTCTGCTTCCCACTCATACTTCGAGTACTTATTTTTTAGGTCATAATGGTTCCCCATTTCTTCATGCTCACGGATCGCTTCATGAAGCACGTCATAAAGCAGTCAGAAAAAAGAGCACTCCAGATACACCTCATGATCGTGCCAAGAGATGTCGCTTGAACTTATAAAATCGGATCAGATATTATGGACAGGTAACCCTCATGCCAAGCAATATTGTCTCTGGCGATGCCAACTTAATCAGCATAATGAGCAAATGTATTTATTGAAGTTTTATTAGTGGTCAGAAGGATTAATCGAAATAATGGAATTTTAGCCTACCTCAAATTCCCCAGTAAAGGACAAGTTTTTTTTCAATTCCACATTTATGGCAAAGTGCACAACTTTGCGAAGGACAACAGTTAAATGTTTTATTTTTCAAATTCGGGGGAGTGACGGGTTGAAGAAGGCAGCCCTTTTTGTCCTGTTCAGCCATCGAAAATTGAGTTTCTTCTTAGTGAAAGGAAAGCGTATAAGAAGAAATGCAACGCTTGTAGAATAAGAACAAAAAAGCCTTGTCTTGCATAGCTGAATTACGTAGATCAGGGGTTGGGAACCTTTTTGGCCACGTGAGCCATATTAAGATTGAGCCAAGTGCTCCTGAGCCAAATATTTAAGGAAAAAAATAAACATAAGTTTTCCTGAAGTTGGCAACAAACATGCATTATGATACATGAGGGACAGCCATGTTTTTTAGCCCTGACTCATGAGCCAAACTTTTTGGTTCGTGAGCCAAATTTGGCCCATGAGCCATAGGTTCCCGACCCCTGACGTAGATGGAAAATGATATATGTAAACATAATTAATTTTTTACTTTGGGCATGATGGAGACATCATGTAGGAGATTTATTGCCTTTTGGTTTTCCACTGGCATCCAGACACCACGTGGCCTGTGAAAATGCACGAAAACAAAAGAAAGGGAATGGCGTTTTATTTTTCCATATTACAATGGACGTTTTATCCTCTTTGATCTCATCAAGGATATTCTCTCTCTCTTGCCTATTTCCGTCTCGTCCGGAAGCACGAGTTTGTCTCGTCGAAGTCTCGTCAATCGTGTCTCATCGAATAAGCTACTCGAATCGTATTGATTTACTTGCGGCGATTATTATTGCCAAGACGGGAAGAGGTTGAATTCCCACACACCATCGAATTTGTTTGTTTCGATTACACACCAATTATGTCCTCACACTGAAGCTGAGCAGGTACCCATGTCTTCTAGAAAATGTATTTTCCTTCCATGCACTCGCTTTCATTTCATCAAAAGCTCCGACCGCGCTGAAGATACCTGCTCAAGCCCACTTCAACCATGTCCGCATGTGGCCCGAAAAGAAACAGCGAAAGAGGGTATTCGCTAGATATGTGGGCCCAAATGCACAAACCTAACTTAGAGGAGATAAAGGGGCCTTTTAGCTAATGAGCTCTTTTTCTTCCATAGAACTCCATGTAGTCTTAAAGGACATTTAACTAAAGGAGGTTTCAAAATTCGGGTCGTTATCTTTATGTTTCGAGGGTTGTCTCTCTTATTCCCAATAGTTCATTCGCTACGTCGTGGTAAACAGAGGTGGAACTTGGCTACAGTACGAGCAGGGATTCCGTATCGACCCTGAGAAGCCACGACTTGAATGAGCAGTTTCAAAATCCAGTTCAGCCCAATCTAGTCATAATTTCATTCGACTACGACGCAAATGAGACTAGGGAACGGCTGCAGTTCAACCTCAACTGGAGAAGAACAATGGCGAAGACAATGCTGAAGATTCCATTTTGACTGATGCGTTACCACCCACGCATTAAAGCATCGAGGACTAAGATCACAGCTCAGAATTAATTTCACATGATATTTGATAATTGCTTCGTCAAAACAAGGAAAGACTGTATAAACTTGATTACTGTTCTATCAATCGATTGATATTTGGTTAAATAGCCCACAATTAACTTCCTAAATTTTTTCATCAAGCCAGTAGTCCATGTTTTACCCAGGTTTGTGAAATTATTTTTTTAAACACGGCTCAGTGGAAAAGAAAAGGTGGGAAAAAAGCTTACCTGTTAGGACCAGAGCCACGCCAAGCCATGCACCCATGAGAAGACGAGTCGCATGACTTTCTGGCTTACATACCATGCTTGCCCCCAAGGTCGTCAACAATTCGAAGGAGAGAAAGAGAGAGTCTATGAAATTAGATCTCTTCCAGTGCCACCTTGGAATCGTCATCAGGAGTTCCATAGACGTGATGCAATATATGAAGATGGCGATAACCACAATGGCAGCGACCAAGAGGCCCCAGATCTGGCGAGAAAAAAAATGCAGGAAGCCATTACTGCAAAAAAGATGAGATTTCTACCAGCACCAAGAGGTCTGCGACTATTTACCATCCCTGGGAAGGGCTGCAGAACAACAAAAACCCGGCTTTTCTCAGTTGGTGCTCCGGTGATGAAAGTGAGTGCTTGGTAGAAATACCCGCGTGAGAAATCGATCGCTTGTGACCTGAGGTTTCCCCAAAAAAAGAGGAAATTTTTTTGTGAATATGACTAAAGTGATCATCTCTGGAGAGTGCGGTTTGTCTTTTCCTGAATGCATTTAAAGTTAACAAGTTCATTTACTTGATGTAAATCAAGAAGAGTATTTATACATGGAATTTCGTTTAGTCGATATCGACCAGCAAAATATTGTTATTGTATTTGGTGAAATTACTTATTCTACTCTGCGAAATAAAAACTGAAGGAGCATAACCTTTGGAGATCGATAGTGATTTCACAAATGGCAAAATCAGCTCTTCTGCCTTGAACTTCGCCGAGGAGACCAGTGAACGTCACGCCGTCGCTTTTTGGTGCTCCCCATTGACCGTCTTTTGGTATTATTATATCGTACCTACCGATGAATAAAACTATCTTCAGCTTAGTTTTGATAACCTGGAAAATATACACTAAAATGCGACCAAACATAACCATATTTTTCTCATAAGATTTCTCTAGAAACGTATGCACAAATGCATACTTACTAGTATCCTGTATACATATCGTATGCATAATTATTTACATCATTAAATACCTATGCCTATCCGATGCCAATCCCTTGAAAATTTTCTCGAAGGATTCGTGAAATCAAAATCGACTTCATCCATACATCACAATATTCACTTGGTATTGCAACTATGCAATTGGATTCTGAGATTCATTCATGCAAGATCCCGAACGGGTCAGTTACACATGAAATACTATCCCATTTCATTAGGATTAAAAAAATAATAATTCAATAGTGACTTCACACTTCCTATAACAGCAATGAGAGAACTCACGTGAAATTGAATGCCTTAGCCATCGTTTCCAGAATTTTGAAGTCAATCCCCTTGACCGGAGTCGTCCCTCTGAGTTCAATGAAAGGGGGATTGTTATTAGCCGTAATGTTGAGCCGGGCACCCTGGAAATCCAATGGAGCAAGGCTGTCATAGAACATGCAACGCCACAATTGCCATTGCTCTTTTATCTGGCAGTCCGTGAAGTTGAATCCCGCCTCCGCCCTCCAGTATCCCTTCGTCTCGAAGTAGTACCCTCTGTCACGGAGCTCTGGCATCGTCGTCCGAAGCGAGAGGCTCCCATCCTCCTCGAATTCGACGAGGGTCACCCGGCTCTCCTCCGTCAACGTGGTGTTGATGGTCGTCCGATTCACTCCCAAGCTGACCACCTTCCATCGGACTCTCTCCAGATTCGTACTATTCATCTTAAGAAAATTGTTACATACTTGTAATCGCGTAAACTGTGAAGATCATCGCTTCCTTAGAGGTACTGATCAACTTCCGATTATCACACTTTTTGTTATTGCTTTAAGATGGGGAATGTAGGAGAGATGGTAACAGCTGTCACGTCACAAAGGCGCTCCATTTGGTGTCCAGAGATAACGTATGTCATTCGGCAGGCTATCCAGGTGATTATGGTGATAACGCATTCTCCTTACATGTCTTCACCGACGCAATTTTATTTGCCAGTGATGATATGACTGATTAACGAGAGCAAAGAGTTTTAGGAGCAGTTTTACATTGACCCACCTTTCGGCTGATGTTTCGAAGCTCTCTGGATGTGCAAAACGTGAGAAGGTGAACGTCATTGGTGTTGATGCGCAGGTCCTGGAAGGCGTCGTTGTCATGATCTTTGCACGAATACGTAATACTTGGATACGGCATGTCTCCATCGGGTAGCTCTGCAGGGAAAATCCCAAAGCATTGTTCGCCTATTTAAGAGCTACTAGCTTAACGAAGTATGGAGAAAGTTCTGGAACACTTCAAAATTCTTTTGTGAATTTGGAGAAAATATATCATGGAATAAATATCTGCAGATCGGATGCAGTTCTACACAACTTTCTTCATCATACTTATCAGTATACAGTAGATCATACTCCTTCACATCGTACCAAATGTGCGTATGAGTATTTGAAAAATAACATTCCTGATTTCAACCGAGGAACTATTAATAAATTGCTTCCAAATTCTCCAGACTTAAACCTCCTCGACTACAGCACATGGGACGAGTTGAAGGAGCCAGTTTATGCTGGGCGCAACACCCACTTTACATCATTTGATGAACTGAAGGCTCGAATTGAGGAGACGTGGCCTCTTGTCTGTGACAAAACAATAAGAAAGTCTATCAACCCCTGGAAACAGTCTGCGAGGAGTCGTGGATCAGAATGGAGGACTCCATCAAAATTGAAGTGATCAAACATCTCTCCAATTGAGGTCAGTCGTGCCCCTTTATACACTCGCCCTTCTGACAACGCTCAGTAGGAAAACGGTTACTCTGGTAGTTAACAACAAATTTCATTGGAATTTTTGATATATGCAAATATTGGATGTGAAACCTGCAAATTTCCTCACCAATAACTGAGGTGAGTGTGAATTCATTATATTTTCAAGTTTTGTAATGTATCCCAGCAGAGCAGAGTTTTTGGCCGAGTCGGCTTTTCCAAATATATTTTTGCACCAGCGAAAAGGGCAAACTGATAAGGTTGAAACATGGCAGGCACGGAGTTATCCAAGTACTGACTTCAGTATTTAAAAAAAAATATATATATATATACTAATTTTTAGGCAAAACCCCAGTGGGTACTTTTTTGCTTGAAGGGCATTTTCCAGAATATTTTTTGATCCAATGAAAGAAAGAACTAAAGAAAGTTGAAACTTAGAGCAGAAGTACCTGTTCAGTTCCTGATTGCAGATCCTACTGTTCAAGTATGCCCCCTCAGGGCAGATTATAATGAGATTTGACGTTAGGCACACAAAATAATCGGAGTAATTTCGATGAAAATATCGGTTTGTACTCTCATGGCACACATTTCGACAGGCACGTACTTTTAAACACGTTTTTGCCACGTCGAAGATTAATTATTGAATGAATCTTTATCCTGGATAATGGAGCGCCGAAGGTGCGACCATAGCGATTTTGCCTGCCCGGAAGGCAACCAAACTCGCTACTCGATAATGATCACGGAAACTATACGTAGTATCTTCTGTCTTTTTTACTCGTGGAAACTACATAGATACACATTGGCAATGCGGATTAGGATGACCAAGCAGCTTTCTAATTTTGGCAAAGGAACCTAAAGACATACCTAAAAGCAAAGGAACCTAAAGACAAGACCCTGTGCTTGTTAGCAGTGACCCGTTCTTGCGCGATGCAACCAGTGAGGCTGGCCTCCCTGTTATCGTATATAATACGTCTGCATTGCGTGCTTTGTGATGTCCCTCATTCATCACCTATGAGCCAGGGGAGTGATCGAGGCTCCCAGATGGGAGACCAGATAGAGACGTATTGGTTCGTCCTGTTTCTCGTATTCCAAAGTTCATTTTTATTTTATAGCCTAATGCCTGTTGGCGCAGCTCTTTAAAATTGCACCACTCGGGATGGAACGACTCTCCGATGTATGATTCCCATGAGGATTTCCAGCAGTTCACAACTACGACCTGTGCCATATCCCTCCACCATCATATGCCAATGCTTTCACAAGTTCATCATAAATTAATCGGATTTGAGGTGAATAAAAGGCTCTTCACATTCTTTAAAATTATTAATGACCTTTCTACGAGCTTATGTCGAAGAAAAAAGGCTACCTTTAATCCTTCATCTTTTCCTTCATGAACCCTATTTGCATCTACTTCTTTCAAATAAATTTAATGGGATATCAATAGATTTTTTATACGCTGACTGCAGAAGTTTATGTAATTCAATATAAATGCTATGCACTTTCTAAACAGTGACAGAAAAGAAATTCATTCAGCTCCATAGAAATTCTGTAGATTTTCTTTATGGTGTCTTCGTGAAATTCTTTAGAAATTTGGTAAGATTATTGATAGGATTTCTATAGAATCTCCATAGAATTTCCATACAGTGTTTTAATAGAACTCTATAGAGAGAAATAATAGAATTGTATACGACCTTAAATATTTTTTTCTTTAGAGAGTCTACAGAATTTTTTTTCCCCACGGATATTCCCATTAACATTAATCGCTATTAGCTAATCGTGTATCTGGCACCCAGAGGTGGGAGTATGAGGTTTTGAAAAGAATAAATGAAATATGAAATAAATATCGCAGGTCGTAGGTTGCCGACCTCTGAACTAGACCATTTAAAATCCAAACGCTGGAATTTATATGGTCCCCGACAGTTGGTCAGAGAAAGATGGGGCAGGCGATAAGGGGACTCGCTCAGCAGGGATCCTTGTTCAATTGGGAAGGAAGTATTCTTAGTTACTTAGTAACTTAGTTATTCTTAGTTAGTAACCCCCGTCCTAACGAAAGGTCGGTGGGATTGGGGTTGGCTGGGATGTGCCCGTCACGCGATTCTGTCCAACAGAAGAATTACTTGTCTGGCATCATTCCATTATTATTCTTTCACGGGAAGTGCCAGACACACCTTGGGGGCCCAATAACACGCTTTTTTTTAAAGATATATCAGTGCCTGAGCGAATTCTTGGCATTAAGTGATGTAGGCGACCAAAGTTAATATTTGTTTGACAATGCTAATAATTCAGGAAAGTGCGCTGAATTCAACTTTATAAAACGTCCACTTGCATCCACCTGGGCTGATTGATAGGAGTAATAGAAGGTACATTTGGAACCAGATGGATCTGATGAAAATCCACCTGGTCATTTGTCAACATGTACGTGAATCGGGTTTCCGGCTCTTGGCGGAATTTTAGCCCGGTGAATATCCCAGTGATCCCCGAAACCAATCAGAAAGTGTATGGTTTCGAGTCCTCCTGGTTTCAAGTCCTGGAAAATTCATCTGAGTTGAACAAGTGAAATTTGACTGGATATGCAAGGCAGGATTGGCATGACCGAGTCTTTATTCATGCACGCTTACTTGATGGCATCCTGCCTGATTGAGTACCAAAAGGGGGCATCTATTGCTCCTACCTGATACACTTGTCCCGAACGATTTCACTCAAAATGGAATGGAAATGGGAAATTTCTTGAAGGAGCCTCTGACTCCGATGGAACTCACCGTATACAGGAGGAAGAAAGATTATGAGGGGTTTATAGACGCGTATGAAGTCCTGGAGGACGTCAAAGAGGGTCCGAGACGATGCGCTGTAGACCCCATTCCACTGATATGCCCCGTTCACATCTGGAAGGACGATATCATGGGGAAATTCGGGTCTCGAACTGCGAGCTTGGATCGTACCAAGGTGTCACCAACTCACGGCCGAGATTACTGAAGGCGATTAAAATCCAGAAGTCCACGGTGCCGCACATGCTGCCCATCCATAAACAGGGAAAACGGGCTTCGTTGTCTAGATTAAACGGAATCCCCATACCTAATGCAATATCGACTCGCAGTCCTGCATGGCATTTCGCCTCATGGGATTAGCGTGCATGGGTGGAGAGCATTGAGGCCTCCGTGCGATGCAGTCTCTAGGACTGTCCTTAAAATCGTACGACGTTGAGGGGGCAGGGCGCAATCATTCATACAGTGACTGACTATACAAGGTAAATGCAAGCTCTCGTCGCACTGCCGGATCTACGGGGTTACAGTGCTCGAGGTTCACTAGAAATCCAATCAAATTTCGCGCACCAGGGCCCGAAAACGTATGACGTTAGTTTCTGAAAAGTTGATTGACGTATTGCCATAACATTTTTCGAAAGGTTTTGGGGCCCTGGTAAGTTATATCGACATCATTGGCATCATTGGCATCATACGTGTATGTCATTTATAAGATCATTAGATTCTTTGTGGATATTTCTCAAAACTTCATACAAATATTTCAATAGCCAAATAGCTAGTTCGTTTCCAGAGAATGAAAACGTAATCAATATCTCCCTTCAAAGAGCAGAAAACAAACACCGAGTACTGAGAACGTGCATGTCTATCCAACAAGATCTTTAATGGATGAGGATACCGAGTCACTGCGACAAACCGAAGCGGAATACGTGAAGTTGTCATGAGAATGGCCGGGAGGGAAGATTGGATGGAGGAGAGGACGAAAGAAAGTCAGGAGACGGCCGGGAATTGAACCCGGGCTTCGTGGTTACCGGTTAGGTGTGCTTCCATTACACTACCGAACTCAGGACAGTCACTCGTGCCTCTCACTGACATCCTTATCATGACAAAGTGAATCTCTCATCTCCATCCGTCTCATAGGCCCGTTGCATCGCGGATGCCTGCCTCAGCTCATCTGGAGGGATTTCAGTTCGATCGCTGGCAAAGGGAGGCAGGCGAGAAACTGCTCAACGAGATGCTTGGGATCCTCTTAATAACGAGACGCAACTCTTTCTCTACATGGAGCTCAGAGGACTCGCAGGGTGTGTGACGTTTGTCTTCCCTGAATCGATGAACGTTGAGATTTTCTTTCCCAACATGCCTGCTTGATCTGCGAGATTAGGTCGCAGCAAGACCTTTGGCAAATGAGGATTTCCTTCCGAGACCATTGATTTCCGATTTACTGGACCTGGAGTTAATGTTCCCCTCCCCCGAAAAAGAACAGTACGTGGAAAGGGCATTAAGAATGACATACCTTGAGAAGCGAACTGAGGATTATCGCGTGTTGCAAGACTTCAACCCGATAAGGATCCACTGGACGATGATCTCGACCAGCCCTAAGAATGAGTAGAGCCGCAATGCGGTGGGATATGGAGGGTTCCATCGAGAAATCGCATGACAAACCGAAGACCCCAAATGTCAATAGAGGTCTTCATACAGGATAGGGTGGGGCTTGTACCCCAAAATTACGCGTGGCTAAATGTCGTTCCCTCTACCTCCTCCCCCCCCCCCTCCCCTCCCCCCCAAAATTACGCGTCATTATACGCACTCTCTCGATGGCCTTCTGTCAACAGGCGCTTCAAAGTTAGGGTTAGGTAAGCCCGTGCGAGGCTGTAGCACAGCAAGTCACGAAGTGGTATCTTCTCTCCAACACACTCGATTTTTAAGCAGACTATTCCTATGAAGGTGGGTCTCTGGCGAAGGTCACATGCCGTGATGTATGATGCACATTTCTTCCCCCCCCCCGTTTGCCATTCTGCAGCCACTTGAGGAAAGTAGAAGGTTGGACAAAGGTAATTCGTGGAGTAAACCTCCTTTAATACGCGAGAGTCGCCATGATATGGGATGTGAATAGCGAAGCGAGGAATAGGAAAAGGCGGGAAAACATCTACAGACGATGCAGAGGGTCGGCAGCCAGGGCAAAGAAGAACTCGATGCACTTCACTCGATGCAGTTCCTTTAATAGTTTATCAGTTTCTTTGCTTAAATATAATTACAGTTTTAAAAGAAATACACGGATGAAAAAGTATCAATACTGGAAGCTACATTATTTCCACGAAAGCTGGGAAATGAGGGTCGTCGACCAATGGGTACACAGAAATGCAGAATTCAAAATGACATTCATTTATTGGTTCAAATAAAGGAAAATCCCTTCGTGGAACTAGTACGATGCTAATGAGCATTTTCTATCCGTAAGACAGAAACTTTATCCACATTCGCCATGCTTTGGTCTTAAGCGACAGAGTAGTCATCGGTCTACAATACCATATATTGCCAAAATACAAAATCCACCTATCCAAAGACGTCTGGCACGGTGTATCGTGAATGCGAACATCAGAACCTATGAGTATGCTTGGCAACAGCATGGCCTGTGAACGTTCTGGAACATCAGTGGCAGTACGATCAAAGCATACAGAGTTCTCCTCGAGGCGTAGTAATTTGGAGTCATTTGGCGAGAAAATCAACCCGAGTTACTTTTACTCTTGAACCTGCCTTGCAGCACTGCGCATGATATCATAGCACGATGGAATACTCATGAGCGTGCTAGCAACCCTGTCAGGCCAGATCTAGTTCATGCCAAGGAGGCGTTAGCACCATTATTGTCAGGTGACTGTTTGCTCATGGGTGGACCTTCACGTTTTGCAAGACAGCGTACATGAGATCAATACTTGGCTTGTGGAACTCCAAGGCATGCCATTCTGAACAGAAAAAAAATCACACGCGACGCAAAAGTTCTTTCTTCTTCTGGTACGAGAAAGTAGCTCCCTCGAGAAGAAACGCAGTGGTCGCCATCACATATCCGATGAAGAGAACGTAGAAAGCACCTTGAAGGTCTTCGATCTTAAGAGACCGATCGTCGGTATTGGGGCGACTTTGCATCATCACCAGATCCACGTCTGAAGGTAATATCTCGACTGCCCAGTGATCGATCAATCCCCCCGACTGAAGGCGGATGATCCTGAATATAATATCAAATAAGCGAAGATTGTAATTCCCATTCAATCACGCTTTAAATCCAAGGAGAATCAGGAACTCACAATTGATCGATTTTGTCCCTATAAGGGGATCCTTTCCTCATGGCTATCCCGGAGCCCTGAAAGTAAAACTGGTCGGGGACCATATATATGTTATTGCGTCCATCCCATTTCATATTGTACAAGAGAGATTCTTTCGGGTGAATGAAGGCGAATCCCCCCTTGAGAACTCTCTCGATTCCAGCTGTGGTGCTATTAAACAGATGTCCCTTTGGGTCACCCTTAATGGCGTCCCATAGTTCTTTGTACAGCCCCGTCCCCGAGTCCTGGAATGAATGGGAAAACTGAATGGAGCGCTACTTCAGTCAGAAGAAAATCATGGAAACTGACCTGAAAGAGAATCATTTGGGAAGTTCCGGGTCCCAGAAGACCCCAAGTCATGGTGGCAGATTTTACTGCGTCATTTAATTCATTCAAAGTCTCGATGGGCGCATTAATGCCAGGGAAACTCATGAATGCCGTAAGGAGACCGCTGTATACTCCTAGAAGTGAGAGATTCCACATGCCATGCGTCTCATACCGGTACCAGTAACTTCCAAAGAAGCAAGTTTAAGAAGATGTAGTACTAGTAAGTACCTGTAAGTACTACGGTTGCAATAAGCCATGTCCCCATGAGAAGTCGGAGAGAACTACTTCTCGGTTTTTCTGCCGGATCTGACCCCCCTACCGCCAGCAATTCCAAAACGAAAAAGAAGGAATCACTGATGCTCGCTCTCCTCATGTGCCACTTCGGATTCCCCATCAGCAGCTCCGTATAGGTGAAGCAATATAAGAAGATCGTCAGAACGAAGATGGTGGCGACCAATACACCCCAGATCTGGCAAGGAAATCCAGGTGCTCATTAATTCCCTTAGAGGCCTTTTTGCAAGACAATTGGCTGGAATCCTCATTATTGTACTTAATATCGACAAAGATATCTGTGGAGGGATTTTTCTTCCTTCTCATACTCCTCGTTGAACCTTCAGTTAGATTGTATTAATTAAAAAAAAAATCATTAAATGGGAAACTTCCCAATTTCTCATCTCTTGGCATTCTCTTTAGCTAGCGACTGAATAATGGGTTACTCTCTGAATCGCAAAACTTATTCTGCGGTCCATTCACATTCTCACTTCCTTGACTGTCGAGAAAAAAACTAAGTATAGATAGTAATGGATTGGGGAACTAAATTGATTATTTGCTGGATGTGATAATTTTAGTAAATACATAATAGCATACATGGTAATAGCCATAGCACGATAGTAATAGTTGCATTTTATTGGCTAATCGAATTTTGTTTCCTTTAGAATGTGGTGAATTAAAGATTACGAAGATAATATATATTTCTATAGCCAGAGACTTATGCTTATTTCCGCAAAAATTCCGACACCGTTATTTTTATATTTTTATCACCTTTTATGCATAAAAATGCGCATATTTTTGCTGAATAATGCGCACAGAAAACGTCACAACTTTCTACAGTATAAGTCATCATTCCATCACGTTACAAATACGAAATTTTCCATCTTGGATCTGAAGCTAAATATGCACACTATGCACCGATTTTGGCAGGGAAATTAGGCATCCAGAGGAAACCTGCAGGACTCTTAAAATTCCAGAAATTCTGATCGACAATAAAGCCACGAATAAGACACCAATCGATTAATCGGTCGAATCATATCATCTAGCTAGTGAGACAATTTACCAATCGCGAGAAGGGCTGAAGCACAACGAGAGCCCTGGTCTTCTCCGTCGGCGGCTGGATGATGTAGGTCAGAGCCTGGTAGAAATATCCTCGCGAGAAATCGATCGCCTGGGACCTGAGGTTTCCGTCGGAGGAGTCAAAGAAAAATATGCGTGTATTCATGTTAATATGCATATATCCATGTCAATATGCATATAGTTCCGTTGGCATGGAATGGTGGCCCAACGAGAATGACGCAGAGGCGAATTGATTGTATGAATAAATAAATAACTGGGAAAGAATAACCTGA